AGACACAACACGAGGAAACTCCACACGACAAAAGTGGAGGGAATTATTCAGAAAATTAACAAACACTCACATATAGATGTTTCGGAGAAACAAATATAAATGCCAAAATTTTCCTAGTAAAAATGACAGAAAATATATATATATATATATATATATATATATATATATATATATATATATATATATATATATATATATATATATATATATATATATATATATTATTTGCTTAAGTAGGGATATTTTCGTCATATTTTGGAAAAAATGTAATGTGAGGGGGGTTTTTGTATTTATGTTTATGCGTAGTACAGGAGGGTATATGATACAAAATCCATACTAAATGGGTGTTTTTATATTTATACCTAAAAACTATTAACAAAGAAAAGAGAAAAAAAATATTGAAAAGAATATAGCGACTATTCATACAAAATACATAAAGAAATCGAATTATAAACACAAACAAAAAAGTATTCAAATTATCAAGAAAAAGAAAAAAAAAACAAATAGTAATTAAATCCATGGATAAGAAAGAATAAAATAGAGAGAAAATAATCCGGTACCATACGTGCAACATACATACACCTTACTAGTGATCATAAGTATGTATGTAAATAAGTGATAAGTGACACCTAAAAACAACTTTCCATTTTAAGTTGAGGGCTCCACATTTAATGTATTTTCAATATTGTAGATGTAATAATTAGTCGTATTATTTACTTAAGTAAATTTTATAAATACCATAATATTATAAATGAAACATCTATATTAATAAAGTAATATTAATTTTTTTTTATGATAATAAAAAAGAAAATGTTAAGTAATAGATGTGGATGATTAAAACTATTTTAAACTTTGAGGAAGTCAATATAATTTACTCAACATCTGGTCACGAGTAAAATATAAATTTTAAAAAGCCACTGGTCACCGGGTTAAGTCTTAGCTACTATCAAAATTTAAGCGAGATATGTATTCAAATTGTAGGTGGTCTAACTGTAATTACACCAAACATCAAGGCCCCTGATATAGTAAATTTACGTTTCTTTTAAGAAAATTGATGGTTAATTTGACAAAAGTCATCATAACATACGACTAACACTAAGAAAGACTTAATTGTTTCAACCAATATTCCAATATTAATAAAAATTAACAACTATCACAACAAAATAAGAGAAAATTTAATGTAAGCATGTTACGTTCCGTGCATGAATTAATGTATTACAATTTATTTTAATTATTTTCGTTCTGTTTTATATTATCATTGATTTGAATTTAAAAAAAATTGTATTCCATCATTCGTTTTGATAAGTAGAACATGAAGTTTTGTATTTATATGATATTATTTGAAAATAAATCATAAAATAGAGTATGTAACTTTAATTAATTAATCGTAAAATTACATATTAAGTAAAATCATAGGTAATTACACGAACGGACGCGGTGTTTGCTAGTATATATAAACACAGTTTTTTTACTATTTGACAACTATTTTCTCAATGAAGAATATAATGGCAGTAACTTTTCATTTAACACACAATATACAGTATGATGAAGACTAACTCAATAGAAAATGAAAGATTGATTTTGTTACTGTATCTCAATTCTCATCCGAATTGAATTTCGTTGCCGACAAGACATTGAAATCATACAGCTGTGAGTGAGGGGTACATTTAAATTCATGGCCACCGAAATTTGAAATCACACAGTTGTGACTTGACTTGTGAGGGGTCCACCTTTTAAATGTAGCAAAGAAAAAAAAACAAAAACAAAAAAAAAAAAAAAAACCGTTAAATCTATTTACTTTTCTTCTATTTACTACTGATTTTAGTATGATGTATGTACCATGGTTTGCTTTTTAGTAATAGATTTAATTAATTAAATTTATCCGCATATATTTAACAAAAGGTTTTGCATTAATGATATATAGTTCAAATAATCCTGATTATTAAGTTTAAACCGTTAAATCTAATACAGTAATGATTTCGGCACTAAAGATTATGATTTATTTAAATAGAAGCACAATATTGATAGAGAAAAATAATTCCCCGAACCATGAAATAAATATTAAATACATGGAGAAATTACTATTTCTCCATTTTTCTTTCAATTCAAATTATAAAAAAATGTTTTAGGAAATATTCCAAATTTTTAATCGTATGGTTGGAAACAAGGGAAGGAAAAAAGAAGTTTTCACCATTTGCAATTTGCTGAACAACTCCATCTTTCACTCTCTCTCTCTCTCTCTCTCTCTCTCTCTCTCTCTCTCTCTCTCTCTCTCTCTCTCTCTCTCTAAGAAAATAACATTCTCAGAGAAAACAATGGCGGCAGAAGCTGCGGGTGGAGCTGCTATCCAATTTCTGCTAGAGAAGCTGATATCAGTTTCCGGGGAGCAGATCAGCCTCTATCGAGATTTCAAGAAAGACTTGAAAAGGCTAAAAAGTTCAATCTCCATGATTCAAAGTTTCTTGAACGATGCGGAGAAGAAGCAAATCACCGACGAAACTGTCGAACGCTGGTTAAGGAAGCTTGAAGGTGTGGCTTTCGATGCCGATAATGTCTTTGATGAGCTCCATTATCAACATCTCTCCAAGGAAATTCAGAAGCATGACAAAATGAAGAAGAAGAACAAGTGCCATTTTTTGATCTTCCCACAATGCATTCCAAATACACGTCGACTAAAAATGGCACGTAAAATCAATGATATCATTCAAAACTTTGAAGAGATCAACAAGGAGGCGACCGACTATGACCTTCAAAAGGCAGTGGTAGGTGCTTATGCTCCGCTTACTGGATCATCTGTAGGCCTTGAAACTGATTCATTCAGTATCGATCCGATTTTTCTTGGAAGAGAAAATGATGTGTCTGAAATAGTGAAGATGATGACTACTCTTCCAAATGATCAAGTACTCTCTATCCTCCCCATTTGCGGGATGGGAGGACTCGGAAAAACAACGGTAGCTCAGAACGTGTTTGATCATGAAGCCATAAAGATTCATTTTGCTAAGTGTTTTTGGGTGCATGTCTCTCAAAACTTCGATGGCAAGATTCTTTTCAACAAAATTCTTATATTGTTAACAGGAACAAACGCCGGACTTGGAGATAAACAACCGGTTCTGGAAAAGCTTCAAAAGGAGTTGGGAGCTCAAAGATTTCTACTTGTTCTTGACGATGTTTGGAATGAAAATCCTGAAATATGGGATGATTTTAGTAATTCGTTGAGAAAAATTAGTTCCGCTACGGGAAATGGCGTCGTTGTTACTACGCGAAGTGAAAATGTTGCTTCACTAGTAACAACACTCCCTACTATGCACAAACTAAAGCACTTGCCAGAAGGTGAGTGTTGGTCTATAATCAAAGCAAAATCCTTTGGAGAAGGTAGTGTTCCATTAGAATATGAGACCGTTGGAGTATCTATTGCAAATCGATGTCAAGGTTTGCCGTTGGCAGCCAAAGTGGTTGGGGGGTTGTTGCGCGGTAAGTTGATTGATGAGTGGCAATCGATTGATGAGAAATGGCTCTCATATTCACGAGATGAAAATCCAGTCTCCAAGATTTTAAAATTGAGTTTTGACTATTTGTCGCCACCATCACTCAAAAAGTGTTTTGCATATTGTTCCATATTTCCTAAAGGATATGGCTTCGAAAGAAAACGTTTGGTTGAGCTGTGGATGGCAGAGGGATTTTGATACGATCTCTTGTGTATCATAAGATTTCTTTACGAAACGTAAGAAAACTCTTATTTATTATTTCTCTTCATTATAAAACCCTAGCACAAGACGACTATTTAAATATAAGAAAACCCTAGAATCCTAATCTAACTAGAAAAGATAATTACCTAAACTAATAAAATACTAAATAATCTCCTAAATACAAAACTCACGGCCATATATTATCATAAATATACTAATCTAATAAATTAATAATAAAATATTAACTAAACAATTAACTAAATAATATAATAAATAATATGTCGTATCAAACCACCCCTCTTGAAATGAACCTTGTCCTCAAGGTTCTGCCCAATAATCGTCTCTTTTTTTTCTGTGTTTCCATCTATGCTTGACGCCATCGAATTTCTTCCGAATTGATTTGATATGAACACTGCTGACAAGACAAGTGTAAAATAATTTTTCGACCACTTCATTATAAATGAGTATCTCTTTCATCTCTTCCACCTTCAAGTTTGCAAGCAAATTACTACTACTTTGCAGAATTCCATTAACAATAAGGATCTTTGGAAAAACTTCACAACCTCTGTGGGACACAATTGAATTTAGATCATTTGTAATGTCACGATTCCCCATACCGTGGATAATTGCAACATCATCTTCACCTTTATCTCTTTTCATACTAATTACAGAAATATTGTCGGATTTCTCGGGTACCACAATCTCCACACTTAAAATCGGATCTTCCTTAAAGCTATGAAATTCTTTCAAAATTCCATGCAATTCTTCGTTTTCATCACCGATTAATTTCTCGTCTTCATCCCACTTTATCTCAGTTGACTCCGATTCTTCTTCTTTCGGCTCTTCGTCCCACTTCATCTCAGTTGAATCTGATGCTTCTTCTTCCGACGAACTCACAAAAATTTGGGGTTCTTCGAAAAAGTCATCGTCATCCTCCTCCTCTTCCTCCGGCGATAGGCTCGGCAGCGGTGGCTCTTTGAAAAATTCATCGTCGTCCTCTTCCTCTTCCTCTTCCTCCGGCGATAGGCTCGGCAGCGGCAGTGGTGGCGGTGGCACTGGCGGTGATGGGCGGCGGTCCCTTCGGCTTTTGTGATGGTGTTGATGTCGTCCTTGACATTGTTCGAGTAATTTCTGAAAATCGATCCGTAATTTCTCTACGGATTTTTCCAATCGCTCCAACCGTCTTGTTTCTAACATCATGATTTCACAAAGTTTTGATGTGATCTCAACTTTGCTCCAGCGTAGCTTTGATGTAATCGCTGCCTTGCTAACGAAGCGTTGGTGTTAATCGCAACTTCGCTTTGATACCAATTGATACGATCTCTTGTGTATCATAAGATTTCTTTACGAAACGTAAGAAAACTCTTATTTATTATTTCTCTTCATTATAAAACCCTAGCACAAGACGACTATTTAAATATAAGAAAACCCTAGAATCCTAATCTAACTAGAAAAGATAATTACCTAAACTAATAAAATACTAAATAATCTCCTAAATACAAAACTCACGGCCATATATTATCATAAATATACTAATCTAATAAATTAATAATAAAATATTAACTAAACAATTAACTAAATAATATAATAAATAATATGTCGTATCAGATTTCTTGGAGGAAGTGATGATATGGAGATTGTCGGCAATAAATTCTTTAATCTTCTTTCACAAAACTCGCTGTTACACAATGTGGAGAGAAGCATGTATTATAACATGCATGATCTTGTGCACGATCTAGCATCCTCTATTTTAAATCCAAAGACAGATAATATATCGGACGAGGCGTACCAAGTTCGGTATATCAGCCTGCAATCTACTGATGCTGAAACAAGTCATATCCTAAAAGAACACGCAAGATATCTTCGTACATTACATTTCGAATGTGACGTACTTAATATCATGTTTTCAGATTTCAAATGCCTGCATGCTCTAATTATCGTCAAAGATGGAGTTGAAAGCAATGATGAAGATCTAGAGTTGCCAAGTTCGATAGGGGAGCTAATACACTTGAGATGTCTTGACATTTCAGGGACAACAATTAAATGTTTGCCAGACTCTGTTGGCGAACTCTATCACTTGCAGACATTAAGAGCATGTGGTGCCTTGGAGAAACTGCCAAATACATTGAAGCACTTGATTAGCTTAAGACATCTCCACATTCCTCGAATAGAATTATTTTCAGAGATGGGAAGATTAACTTCTCTTCGAACACTACCGTACTTTGGAGTGGGCGATGAAAATGGTCGAGGAATTGGTGAGCTCGGAAGCTTGAAGAACCTGGAAGGAAAACTAGAGATTTATAATCTTGAAAATGTGCATGACAAAGAAGAGGCTATGAGTGCAGATTTATTACGAAAGCCAGACATAGTCAAGTTAAATCTTACATGGGATGAAGATAGAGAAGGTGGAAATGGCGATGAGAGTGTGTTGGAGGGCCTCCAACCCCACCCAAATTTAGAGAGCTTAAATATTTGTGGATTTGGAGGAAGAAGTTTGCCATCATGGTGTTTAAATATGTCGGGGCTTAATAAATTGATGGAGATAACACTTGATAGATGCAAAGAATGTGAACAAGTCCCAATGCTAGGGCACTTGCCACATTTGAAGAATCTTTATCTGGATGGTCTGGTGAATGTGAGATCCATAGGTTCCTCGTTTTACGGAATTGATGACAAATGTGTTTCCAAGAATACATTAATTAATGTGTTTCCGGCACTTGAAAGGCTGGAGTTGAGGGGAATGTCAGAGCTGACGGAGTGGCTAGAAGCTGAATTGCCAAGTGCAACACTTGAAAATGAACAATTACCTACGGTATTTTCTCGCCTCGAGTACTTGCGGATTAAAGATTGCAGGCAATTTAAGAGTGCTCCGAGTCACTTTCCATGCCTTAAAGAATTGCTGATTGGTGATGTGGAGAGCGAATTACCTTTGGCAAGTTTATGTGGTATCAACTTAATCTCTCTTACAAAGCTCCGAATTGAGTCAATTGATGGATTGACGTGTCTCCCAGATTGGCTTTTCCGTAAAAATCAAAATCTGTCGAAGTTGGAGATAAGTGGTTGTCGCAACTTAACGCATCTAGTTCCGTGCTTGGAAGGTGGAGGAACTGCTCTTAGGACCTTGGAGATATATAATTGTCCGAAATTGAGAGAATTACCTGATGATCTACACACCCTCAGTGCTCTCGAGATATTGAGAATAGAAGATTGTCCAAACCTGAAGACAATACCATATCCACATGAAACACATAATAATGATTACGATGAGCAATTATTATTAGGCTTGAGTAGCCTTTCGGAATTGGTTATTGTAGACTGCGGAGGGCTAACCAATTTGCCAAGTGAAATGATAGAGTCATGTGCGCAGTCCCTGGAGAGTTTGACACTGACAGGATTAATAAATTTAAGGATGAACATGGGAACTTTGATTGGGTATTGTTTGCAGAAAATGCCTCGTCTCTCTACGTTGTCCATTGTTGATGTTCCAGTCACTAATAATTCCTCGGAAATTGTTGGTTTTTTTTCTCTTAACAACTTAACATATTTAGCAATGAGTTGTGACAAGTACTCAATTTCATGTGTTGCTGACTTGCTGCCATCTTGAAAGCATCAGCCGAATCTCTGTGTACATTAGAATTGCTGGGAACAGAGCATAGCCGAGAACTACCGGATCAGCTTCAACATCTCACTGCTCTCTTTTCGCTACACATAGATAATTTTGAAGCGATAGAAGAATTGCCTGATTGGTTAATTGGGGACAACTTTTCTTCGATAGCAAATTTATCTCTATCCCGCTGCAACAAGTTGCGATGTCTGCCGTCTAAGGAAGCCATGCTACGTCTCACCAACTTAAGATATTTACGGATAGAAGATTGTCCGATGTTAAATCTAAAATGGTGTGGAGATGGCGATTATGGTTCTGAGTGGCCAAAGATTTCCCATATCCACCAAGTCTATGTGGATTTTAATTCAATTCCAACTCATGCTCAGTAAATGTAAGTATACTTCCTTTTTTCCTTTTCCTTTTCTATTGTATTTATTTTTCTTTTTGTTCGAGCCTCCAAATTAAATTTGTTGCTTAAATTGAATAAGTCGCTCAAGGCGCACGCGCGCGCGCGCGCACACACACACACACACACACACACACACACATATATATATATATATATATATATATATATATATATATATTTCAAATTTATTTAGCTACATATTGAATTTTTTTTTTATTTCATAGATTTAATTCAACACCCCTCCGTCAAAGTATGAATATTCCTTAAACTTTTAATTTAGGGGACGATTTAAAAACAGCATAAGGAGGAAGAGAGCTCAAGTTTTTGTAAAGGAGGAGACCAGATTAAAATGTAAGTATACTTATTTCTTTTTCTTTATTGGATTTACCAGATTTTATTTGGTTTACATATTCATTTTTCCTCTTTTTTACTATTTTTTTAAAATGTGGTCAGTTTATAATTTCTCATTTTTTTTCTTAGAATTGATGTATATAACAAGTATATATGTATGTAAGCTTATTAATTTCAGAACAGATTATGTATGTCAAACTATATATGTATATATCAGTTGATTATTATTATTATTATTATTATTATTATTAATTTTCTTTTATTTTTTTTGTGTTATGGCATCTCAAAATCTGTGAATTAACTTCAGTAGGTCGCTGAATACATACAACACAAATAAGGTCGAAAGGCATCCATTTGTTGAAGATGGTTGTTTATTTGTGTACATATGTTGAACTTAGAGTGTAATTTTACTTTGATACTTCAACTCTGTAACAATATAATTAAACTTGTTGAGGTGTGGTACTTAAATTTTCAATATGACAATTTGGAATGGAAATGGAGTTATTAGAATGCTTGTATAAAGAGAGTTTTACTCTTCATCCGAAATATGAGGACAAATTGCAAATAAATCAGCTTTATAATATCTACAAATATTAGGACAAATTTCACTTTACGTCCTTTAAATTTTCAATTTTCGCACTTTCCCCCTCAAAATTCAAAAGAAGTGAGTGTCCCCCCTTCAAAATGTTTCTTTTATTACTCGTTGCCCCAATTGCCAAATTTTGATGGGTTACTAATTGAAATTAAGCATTTTTGTTTCATGTTTCCCCTTTAAATATTATTTTTGTTGCACGTTGCCCCCTGAAAATATTTTTTTTTTGTTGCATGTTGCCCCTTTAAAATGTTATTTTGTTCCACATTCCCCACCGTAAATTGGGTTTTGGGGAAAAGTGCAAGTTATAACAATATTTTGAAGGTGGGTATAGTCTCCATTTTGAACTTTTAGGGGAGAAAGTGAGAATCTGGAAAATTAGTATGAGCAAAGTGCATATTGTCCAAAATATCACAATTAGACTCCTAAAAGCAACTCCAGTGGCAAAACATTAAAATGGATCGATGACTCGAACCTGGATATTATCTTTATTGGATGAATACTTTTGGCCTGTTGATCGAGGACGAATCCCGGAAGTCCCCATTGGCGGAATCATTGCGATGGATAGGATTATTTGGCACCTCCGTTGATTAACCTTGGCAATGTTGTCGATCATCCGTCCTTTTAATATTGGCTGGACTTCCTTCGTAATACTCTAGCAAAGGACCTGTTTCTTCTGTCAAATGTTGTAATTATGTGGAAAGCCTGGGAGTTTCGACGTCGCTTCCCCACCCGAAAAGGACTTCATCGTTACGGCAATGGTGGCACGAAATAATAAAGGCGAGTGCATTTGGTGGAGTGTTGAGCAGGTCTCTGGTCGGCCGGATGTTGTTGAAGGGGAAGCTCGAGTAGCTCAACGCCGCTTTCTATTTCGGTCTCCCAAGGGTGGGCTTCACTGGTGCATGAAGGAGACTCCAAATTGGTTCTTAACATCCTTTTGGGGCTTATATTGAAGATTGCATTAATTTGATGTTTTTTTTATACTGATTTACTCCAATTGCAAACATTAAATAGATCGTAAAATTTTAAATATAATTAAAATTGACACTTGTCAATTCATGATAGTTAATATTTTGATACCTTTTTTTTCCGGGATGCATTTTGCATTTCCGGAAGTTGAATATCAAAATAATTCCTTCATTAAAGATGGAAATTTACGTTTTGGAGTATCAATATAGAAGTTATACCATTTAATTTCCCATTTGATTCCTCAATTAAAGTTGCTCTAAGAGATAAAAACATTTGCAATTACACCCTTATAGTTATAAATATAAAGTCAAAATTGGATGGTTTTTATGAATATTCTTAAGAAGTAAAGGTAATTACGAAAACGAGGAAGGTTTTTTCGTAGTTTAGTTTTAGCTCAGCCGGGTGTTGAACAACTTATTTGTTCAACCATTGATAACATAGAAAAATGATATTATTAATCATTAGTTATCATTCAGCATTCAAACACCGCTCGTAGCATTCTAATATTGATGTAGCTTTCCGCATTAAGCAAAGAATCCTATCAAACACGACGCAAGTCTAATTCAACTTATAATATCTATCATAATAAATTTGAATTTGAAAAAGAACCAATCCACTTTCTCTAGATCCCGTTCGATCGGAAAAAAAAAAACCCAGAAAATAGCTTGTTACATCCATAATACGGGAAACACTCGATCCCAAAGTGAAAAGTCTTACAAAACAACAAACAACGAAATACGTAGTTTGTAGAATAATCCAGAAAATTTAATTATTAATAAAAATTGTATCAGAGGTTAAAATACATTATACATGCATACATGTCATCAACATAGCAGATTTAAGGTAGAGATTCACAACTAGCAACAACCTTAAGAGGGAATTTTCTATGAATTGTAAGTCCATCACCTTCACACATATCCAGATCTTCTCTTCTAACGCCACCTGGCAATTCAAATTCGAAATTTAAAACAACATTCGCAAGAACAAGCTCCACAATTCCCATGGCAAATGCACCCCCAGGGCACCCCCTTCGCCCCCCTCCAAACGGAATCAACTCGAACTGCCCTCTAAAAAAATCCACCGAATTCAAATTATTGTTACGTAAGAATCTCTCCGGATAAAATTTCTCCGGATTTTCCCACAAAATTGGATCTCTTCCAATAGCCCACACGTTTATAACCACTCGCGTGCCTTTCGAAATATCGTAACTTAGTAGTTTGACATCTTTGGTTGACTCTCGAGGAACGAGTAGTGGGAGTGGAGGGTGCAGTCTTAGAGTTTCTTTTACAACGGCTTTCAAGTAGTGGCATTTGTGTAAATTGTCTTCGGTTATGGTTGAAGCGGGCCCCGCTATGTTTTTCAGTTCGTGCTTCAGTTTCGCCATGGTGTTTTTGTTCCTTATGAGCTCGGATAACGTCCACTCTATGAGTGTGTATGTTGTGTCGGTTCCAGCAGCAAACATGTCCTGTAATAGATTATTATTAAAATAGTGATCATTTTGATGAAATAGAATACTTCAAATCGAAGCATTTTCCACTTCAATTTGCAATCTCTCACTATACAAAAAGCATGAAGGTTTTAGTTGAGTCTATAAATAGAACCTCTTATTCTAAGTGTCTAACTACAGTTAAACCTCTATCTATTAATAGAGTCGGGGCTAGCAAAATTTATTAATTTAGCAAAATATTAAATCATCGAGTTAATACTTCAGTACATTTTTGCCGACTCGGGACCAAAAGAAATTATTATTTAACTAAGGTTATTAATTTATCGAGGTTCTACTATATTGCATTTGCTACAAACACAGAAAAGAAAGAAACTAAAAAATAATAATAAGGGTAAATTACGGCTACCATGAGATAAGATCAAACTACGAAATAATCTCTCATGTTTGCATAATTACAGTGACCCCTCAACTATGTATTATCTTACGAAAAAATCCCTCCGGTCGGTACATTTAGGGGTATTCATTCGGTAAAATTGTAATGAAACTTCGGTATGCCAAAATTTCATATTGTTTAGCTTTCGGTTTGGTAATAACCGAATTACCAAAATTTTATTCAAAATATTTAAAAATTGATTTATTTTTTATTTTATTTTAAAGTACATATATATATATATATATATATATATATATATATATATATATATATATATATATATATATATATATATATATATATATATATATATATATATATATATATATATATATATATATATATATATATATATATATATATATATATATATATATATATATAAAATAATAAAAACTGAACATCACACCAAATTACCGGTTCGGTAATCAACATGTACCGAATTTCCGTTCGGTTCGATTTGGTCGGTTTACTGACCAGATGAACACTCCTAGGTAAATTTGACACCGTACATAGTTCAGAGAGTGGTTGTAATTATGCAAACATGAGGGTTTTTTTTCTTGTAATTTGACCTTACATTAGGGTGGCCGTAATTTGCTCCATTAATAAAAAGTCCAAGAACACAGACATAACAAACTACAGAGGCACTCTGTTCTACTTGATCAAGAACTAAATTCAAGAACAGTAAAAAGCAATGCAAACATATTACCAAGATAAGAGCTTTAACCGAGATATCGTCAAGACCAAATCCACCCTCCTCGTTCCTCCGAATATCGAGCAAAACATCCACAAAATCTTTCTCTTCTCCGCGAATCCCACCACCATTCAAATGCTCCTTCACCACAAACTCCAAAAACTCATCGAGATCTTCGGCGATTCTCCGAACTTGACTCTTCATCCCATTAACATATTTAACCCAAAAAAGCCAAGGAACGAACTCCCCGACATCGAAACCACCCAACAAAACCCCTAACCTCTCCAAAACATCCTTAAATTTCCTCCCACCTTCACCATCACTGTACTTTCTCCCCAAAGCCACCCTACAAATCACATCATTCGTAAGAGAAGCAAACGTCTCCCCCAAATCAATCACACGTTTTTCGTTACACGATTGTCTGATCTTCTCCAACATAACAGAAACCTCTTCCTCTCGAACACTCTGAAAAGACTGAACTTTTCGACTGCTCAAAAGCTGGTTAACGCAAATACTTTTAACATGCCTCCAGTACTCGCCGTAGGGTGAAAAGGCGATGTCTTTACAGTCGTAGATACCACGCGCCACGCTTGATTTGGGCCTGTTGGAGAAAATTGGGTCGTGGGTTTTAAGTATTTCTTTAGCTAAATCAGGTGATGAAACGACGAGAAGTGGGACGCTGCCCAGGTGAAGAAGCATTAAGGGGCCGTGTTTTCTTGATAAGGAGTGGAGGGTTTTGTGGGGGCGGAACCCTAATTGGTGAAGGTTTCCGATTATTGGAAGCTTCGGCGGCGACGGCGGGAGATTCTTGATGGGTTTTTCCGAGGTGGGCCATTTTCTTTTTACGATTACGAAAATTGTGAAAAGAAACAATGGGAGAAGAAGAATTTTGGAAACATCATCCATGGGTTTTCTTGATCGTCAAAGGCTGTAGGAGAACATTAGTTTTGTGTCTGAAAATTGTGGAATGTGGATTTGTAAGTGTAAAATTGGTGAATTTGGAAGGAGAAATGGAGATGGCATCTTTTATTGTTCTTGGGAGTTGGGAATATTATTAGCTTTAGCAAAGTGACGTGGGAAGTAGAATAATTGCATGTTACATTAATATGAACAAGAAATTTGTTGAAACTTCACTCACCAATAATTTTTAGGGGTAAATATAGATAAATCCCCAAATACAAACTTAAAGCGCGGATCAGTCCCTACATATGTTTTATTTGCAGATCAGTCTCTACTGCAGAGTTTCACATGCAGTTCAGTCCCTATCTTTGCATTATTATATTATTTTTCTCTCTCTCTCTGTCTCTCTCTTCATTTAAATTTTCTCTCTCTTCCTTTTTTCTTTCTTTTTTCTTTCCTCTTTCCTCTTTTTCTCTTTCTCTTTTCTCTTTTCTTTCCTTGCCCCGTTCCAATTCAAAACTCAATTTTCAGTTATTTTTCTTCAAACAACAAATGAAAAGGCGCAAGAAAAAACTCGTGAAGAAAACAAAATGAAAAGAGGAAAGAGACCAATTCTCGAAGAATTGTGAAGGGGAAGAAACAAGATTTGATTTTTTTTCCTAGTAACGTATTTAAAAGATGTTTGATAGTTTGATATAGGTTCTGAGAAAGACGCTTCTCGTATTATTTTTTGAAACATTTTGTGTTTTATGTGACTGCAGTAGTATATATCGTATTAAACAATAGTATTGCTAGTGTGGTTGGATGGTGTTGAAATAAGAGATGAAAAGTACTAGTATTGCTAGTCATGTAGTAGAATAAATGCGTCAACATAGTACGCTTACGTCTAGAATGAAGTATATTTGGTTCAGTGGTGAAGTACGTGTTGTCTAAGTGAGTATCATGTCAGCATTTTGAACTCTAAACGCAACACCATTGTTCATCAATCTTAAAATAGTCATTTAAAATATATTTTATGTCCCTCCCACACTCACTAATCACTAAATTTATTATGAAATTGGTACAATTCAATTCATTATAATTATGGTACAATTTATTCTACATAGAAATGAATGCATTACACCAGTGATGCTCGTGTTGTCCATTCATAGAGTACGCTTCTTTCAATGAAAAAGTAGATGTTCTCCATTTATATGGTACTCTTGCTTTATAGATATTATTTTGGAACCAATGCAACAATATAAACTCATTTTCTGATGCATTCCTTCATTTTATGTCTAATTACATGAAATGAGATAACGTGGGAATCCATCAACATCAATTATGGTAACATTTGAGAAAAATACTAGTCCTACATATAAGTCTTGTACTATATGTGAATATCATGTAGGAAATCAAATTCATTTGTGGACTCCAAACGTAACACCAATGTTCACCAAACTTAAAATACTCATCTAAAACATAATTTATGCATCTCCCATACTAAATCATCATTAAAGTGTCAAGGAAATTGGTTCAACTCAATTTATCACAAAATATAGTATGTTTTGTTCCACAAATTATAAGTACAATGTATAAACTGGTAAAGTTCGAGTTATTCATGCATATAGTATTGTGAGTTTATTCATAAAGTATATGTTGTCCATTCATATTATACTGTTATATTCTTTATATTATTGTGGGGCCAATGCATCCATATAATATCATTTTAAGACGCATTTCTTCATTTTAAAACTATTAACATGAAATGAGATGATGTAGGAGTTGATCAACATAGATTATGGGAACATATGAGGGCATTTTTAGCTCTACGCATGAGCCTTATACACTTATATGAGTATCATGTAATAAATCCAACACATATATGGTATTTTGTACTCTTATATGAGTATCATGTATGAAATTCAACATATTTATGGCATTTTGTACTCCAAACGCAACAATAATGCTCACCAACCTAAACATACACATCTAAAACATAATTTATGCATCTCCTATACTAATTGATCATTAAAGTGTCACGGAAATCCGTATAACTCAATTCATCACAAACTATAGTACTATGTGTGAAACACGTAAATACAGTGAATACACATGTGAAATACATGTCTAAAATTGACATGATATCTTCAAATAAACTAGAAAATAGGTGTTGTTCATTACTATAGTACGCTTATATTATTTATATTACTTTGTGGCCAAGTCAACCATATAAACTCAATTCATAACAAAATATAGTATCATGACTTCAACAGGGAAGTGCAATTCATCAAAATATATGATACAATGTTTTCAATATAAAGTACGAGTAGAGCTGACCAATAGTATTGTTAGCTCTTTAACAAAGGACATATTCCTGCAACTACATACACGTAATTACAATTATATCAATATAACCCACTATAAAGTTCCACTACTAGTACTTCCAATACTCTCTTTCAACACCATCCAAATGCACTAGGAATACCACTATTGCATATGGCATATACTACAACATCACCAAGAATAATACAATAAACTTTTTTCCCATTTCCTATATCAAAGTCATCAAACATCATACATCAAATCCTTGTTAGGAATAAAAATGCTTTGGGAACATGCTAATGTCGCCGAAGAATAGTACCCAAGAGAAGAGTGTTCAAAATCGACAATAAATAAATGATCTTTACAAACTCGAACAACAAAATAACAGATATTGGAACCGAGTAAATTATTAGGGAAACAAATCAAATCTTATTTCTTCTCCTTCACCATTCTTCGACAATGAGTCTCTTTCCTCTTTTCTTTTTGTTTTTTTCTTCTTCTACTACCTTGGTTCTTCCTTTTCTTTGTTCTTGTTGCTTCATTTGTATTGATTTAGGAGTTTGTTTTAATTTCTTGCACATTTTCGTGTTAATTTTCGTTTGTTGTTTGAAGAAAAATAACATAAATTGAATTGGAACGGGCAAGAAAATGAGAGAGAGAAGAGACATAGAAAAAGAGGAAAGAGGAAACAGAGAAGAAAGAGAAAAGTAAGAGAGAGAAAATGAAAAAGTATGTAATTTCAGATTAAAGTAAATGGTATTTTAGAATTTTCACTTGCCTCTAGGGACTGAACTGCATGTGAAACTTTGCATTAGGGACTGATACGCCTATGAAACGTCTGTAGGGACTGATCCCCACTCTAAGTTTGTGTTTGGGGATTTATATGTATTTACCCCTAATTTTTATTACGGTGGAACCATTATTTCAGGGCCTTTTTTTTTCTAGGCCATTTGGCCCAATTGTTTTTTACAAATAGGACATATAATGAGGCAATTTCAATTCTAACAATACGTGTCACTTTAAATTGCGCTTTTTAAGAAGCCGCCATTTGTCATCTTTTCCTTGGCTTGTTTCAAAGCTTTAAAGTTTTGTGTCACGTGGTCCAGGACCATCTTTTTACTCTTTCTTTTATATATATATATATATATATATATATATATATATATATATAAATTTTAGATTTCTTTTTCTTTATTTAATTATTTTATTTAATAACTAAAAGTAAATAATAATTTGCTTGATTGAAAAAAATCTGTATATTTTTTATTTTGTTTAATTAATTTTTTTTCAATAACTAAAATTAATAAAAGGTTTAATTAATTACGAAGTATTTCTGTTTTACAAATTGAAAATATTTTGTTATTTAATTTGTGTTTATTTGAAAAGTAAATGCAATGTAAAGTTTAATTAAATATTTTTTATAAGAAATTTATAATTGAACACATAAATAAATATAAAAATAAAAATATTAATGTAACAATAATATCCTTTGTCATATGGGAATGAACGACTTGGTAGAAGGAGCATCATCAAAAATATTATTAAATATAGATATTTTTATGATTGTGTTGATTATGATTTTCTTTGATCAATTTAAATTTTCCTATAAAAAAAATAAGTAAACCTTTTATTATTTTTAAAATTTTCAAATAAAAAAGATTTGCAAACATTAATTATTTTTCTATGTTTAGTCCCTCATTGGTTTTAATTAAATAAAACTTCAAAACTGAAAAACGAAAATTTGCATTCAGGACTTGCTAAAGATGAGAATGCTTGGAAGATGGACAAAGGCGATGCATACGTGTTAAAGAGGTAATCAAGCCTTAGTAGAAAACTTTCTTTATACTTATGTTGTATCATCAAAGCATTTAAAGAAATTTTGGGTTTGTACATAGAGAAATATGTTGGGTTTCGGGCACGCATACGCAGCGGAAAAAAAAAATTTATGTGATTTAAACGACTTTAAAACACACATAGTACATGCCCGACAAATTAAATCAATTAATTGCGTACCTTTGCGCTTCCAGCGAAATTAAAAACAACATACATGCTAAATAATTTAATCGAATTTAAATCAATTAACATGCTCGCGTTTAAACCAATTAACATGCTTGCAAAGATTAAAATGATTACACATAATCACATAAAATCATACGATAAAAAAACATGAATTCATAGTTTAAACATAAACGAATCGAAACTAGGGTTTCGTATATTTACCTCTTGAAGCGTGAGGTAGGAGCGTTTAGCAAATCGAGATTGCTACGGAAACCAATCCGTACAATCGGGGCAGCAGCGGTGCAGCGGCAGCAGCAGCAAATCGGCCACGGCGGCGCGTGAGGTTCACGCGCGGTCTTCCGGGGCGGCGCGTGGGGCAGCGTGCGGCTTCGGCTCGTGCGCTGCTCTTCGATTCTCGATCTTTGATCTTCCTCCTCTCGGATTTCACCTCGTATACTTCGATCTACTAAAACGTGGCACTAGACACGAAGTAGTTAGAATAAAACGGAAGAAACGAAAAGAGGAAAAGATTACCAAAGCAATCGGCCAATGGATGGCCGATTCCGGCGAATTTCCGGCGACAGCGCGGTGGTGGCTGCGGGAGGAGTTCGGCCGTGAGAGTGGGGTGAGCGGCTAGGGTTTTGATTAGGTCTTGTGTGTTTGTGCAAGGCCTATAAATCAAGTATTTATAGTCCCTTGCATAAAACCCTAACGGGCTTAAGTTGGACCGGGCCCAACAGCTTAAGCTCGTTTGTTCCTTTACTTGCTCGTCTCTCTCAATTCAATGATCGGAAAATTGCAACAATTACATTTTCGGAATCATTATAATATCCTCGTCATTACGAGTGCCAACTCT